GAGGAACGTCACTGGTTCTCAATATTTGATGAACATCGACAATGAGCTGTACACGCGGATATAATTCCGATGGCGAACAACTGAAGAAATTCAATTAATCATCATGTCAAAAACTGCGTTGCCGGTATACTTTATAATCGTCTTTCCCATCTGGTGTGGTACTTGAAAGATAGTTTTTATAAACACATCTCACTTCTTGAAGAGCCAGGTGACGATTCAAATGCCGTTATTATTGCAATAATCTCTCTGGTCGATCTCAACAACATGAAACTGCCGAGGATGATGCTAAGAGAACAAAGAGCTGGAATATGAGGCCAACGTCATCCATTTCAGCCGACATTGCCATTTTATGGCATCGAAATCCCAAGAAGAAGTCCTGAAGAACAGCGGATTACATTCCGAAAATGCATGTATCACCTGTAATCAATTTAAAGAAGTCTTTAGAATGTCCAGAGAAACCGTGTAAACAAAAAATCATTCTCTTTGTTAATGACGTCCTGAAACCTCCAATTATAATCATCAATTCTTTGACTACTACTTCTTCATATGCTCTGTGACGTCGACAATAATGAACGAGTCCAGAATAAATCACACGGCATTTCATATACCTGCAGTGGTGAACTCAGCACTTGGCATAGCCAGCGAGAATCACTCTCCATACATCCAAAAGTCCTTGCCCCACTTAGAGCATCATTTCACTGAACCACGATCAATTAAAAAGGGGAATAAGCGAAAATAACGAAGAGTAAATTGATCTCGCAGAGGCAAAGCCCACTCTTTTCCAACAGTCCCACCGTGCGCCAAAACCTTACAGATATGATACATCCTTCCATCCTACTTGGAATCATTTAAGCCATTAGTAGGATTGTTTATATATCTGCAAACCGTCTCTCAAACTCTTGGTATAATTTAGGACTAATCTCATCGCTGCTATTTCCTTCAACTTCCCACAATACATTCTTGCGTGCGTAGTGTTCAAGTAAAGGTTCACTTGTCTCCTCAAATTTCTTGAGTCGTGTCTTCCAAGTTTCTTCGCAATCATCTGGACGCTTAGTGAGCTTTTCTCCAGTAATATCATCAAGCCCAGCGACCTTAGGCGCATGGAATGTAGTATTATAAACTCGACCAGATGGTGCATGAACCCATCTGCCCGCGATACGCTCCAGTATGACAGATGCTGGAGTTTTGAGAGAGACGACGAGGTTTATTGGAATGAGTGAATCGAGTTGAAAGGCTTGCTCGGCCGTGCGAGGAAAGCCATCAAGTATAAAAGAAGCTGAGGGGTCGTTTGATGTTTGAGGTGGTGAAGAGGCTTCCGCCAGTGATGGTTGCTCAACATATGAATCTGTGTCGAAATATGAGGAGGAAGCAGACATAGCGCTAGATGCTAGTGTCATGGATGGCGCCGACGAAGGAAATAACCAACCACGAGTTTTCAATTCGTGAAGGATAAGTCGAAGTATCATGGCATCAGGAACAAGAGAGCCAGACTGTATAGTACTTTCCGCCTTGATTCCTGCAGATATGTGTAAGTCGCAATTTACAAACATGTGGAAGTATGCATACCTAATGGAGTCCGATTTTTGACATTATCTCTCAATAAATCCCCGGAACTGATGGCAGAAAGTTGTGGAAATCGTTGCAGAAGTCGTTCTGCCTGTGTACCCTTTCCTACTCCTGGAGCCCCAACTAATATTATTCTTGCTGCTTTCTTAAGGCGCATTGTGTCGCACGTACTGGTCCAAGTCAAAGGAGATCGCGGATGGAGACAGTTTATATCAAAATCCTTAACGCCGGATGTCCGTACACCACGTCGAGAACCCTCTATTTCTGCTGGAGGAATTGCCGTACGACACTTGTATTGAAGAATTAGAAAGAAAGAAAAGATACAAGTCTGATGAATGACTGTGAATCTAAAATATGAATGACTCTTTTCGAGAGGTAGAAAAACAGCCGGAGCAAGGGATGAGACGATTGAAATAAGTAATGGGGGAATAGTAAAATACAATACCAAGGTACTTTGTTGTATAAGAGTCCGGAGTTGTCACAAGCAAATGTAAACGGCGAGCGGGGGAAAATGTAATCTCAATTTGACTGAAGCTTATCAAGAATTTCTGGTGTGAAATGGTCATAGCGCCTCCCCGGATTTGTTGAGGAATGAGCCAAGTGACGGCCGCCGCACGAAAGTGAGAGCTAACCTTACTAATGTCAGGGATCGTCCCGCCTGTCCGATTGTCCGATAGGCTAAATTTTGACTGATTGATTAGGTAATAATTTAATCCGCCATTTGTTCTCTCCTCCTTCTCCTCTGTCTATAAATCTCAATAACGTCAAATACATATCGAATCAAATCTAAGAGGATGAGGAGGGAATAATCACTCTAACCTTCGTGCTTGTTTCACTTTATACTCAATATCCTACCATCTTCACCACTCTAACCTCAGAGGTTTTCAGCTTGATTCTTCCCAACTCATAGTCTATTTAGTCTACTTTCTAGCAGGGGACTGTTCGGTCTATCTATTTCCTCTTCTACTTATTCTTGCTTACTTTTGACGGTCTAGACACCGGAATGCTGTCAGTCCTATGGATTCTATCACTGCGGTGTGAAAAGCAGTGATTCTAACATTGACTGCTGGACGAATCGTCAATGAAAAGAGCTATGTGTGATTCCCTGGGACAATTTTCTATACTGGACTGCAACAATCCAAAATTCAACTGCCACCGTATATGCTTGATTCATTATGACAGTTGTCAAGATGGAGAAAAGCTCACTCGCACTCCTCTTCGGAAATTTTGAAGAAAAGCTTTGGCTATATTTCCTACCAAAAGCTCTTATCAATCTTTCTGTGAGGCTAGATCGTTTCTGATCACATCAAAGGCAGTAAAATGTGAAATGAGGTGATCGTAAAGGCTCCTCTGTGCAGGAGATTGCAAAAAGTAATCAAATAGTATAGCTGGTGGCTTCCAAGACCAACTTACACAATCCTTCCAAACTAATCGCACCAAGTCATTGCGCGACCGAAACTCAGGTTTGCAGACACAAGTGTTTCGCTGTAGCTTGAAAAAGTTGCGTCGGGATATCCTCAATCATACAGTCGAACCTAAGTATGGACTGTTGCTATACCACATAAGTTGTAAGTTGTTTATCTCAGGAAGAAAGTTGGACTGACCGAGAAAGGTAAGAATATGAGGATGTTTCTCCCCCAGCCTCCATGTCAAGTTTGTTCTCTGTAAAATACAATTTCAATCTTTTGGCCAGCTTCCATTCTGGGAATTCGTGTTTCGCGCTGAAGCGTATGTGTTCGGCATGGTCTGAGAAGTGTAAACCAATTTACATGACTTAAATTTGATACCAAATCAAATTTATGCTCGAGTAATCTCGTGCTTCTGAATAGTCCTAGTATGTCGGTCATATAGCATGTCATTCTCAGCAATGCATGAATGAGTATTTGGGCTTTGCTGCAAACCAAGTGGTGAAATTTGTTACACTGCCTCATTTCTTAGGCCAGTACGTCTATTCAAATATATGAAGAGTTCCTTTCCTTTTCCAGGTCTTCTATTCAACAACAGCTTTGTTTGATTCTCCTTCCAACCAAGATTCGCCTTCCAACCAACCTAGAATCAGAATGATATTACTGTGGGATTAGAGGTCGGCTTATATCAAGGGACTGCGTTTTAATGACCGGTATTAAGTCTTCTTATCGAAGAACCAATCTTTCGTTGTAGTTCGGTCAATGGTATGTTTCATGATATGGAAATCTGAACTGATATATCAGTATGATTTGCAATAAAATCACGCCAAGCTTAGTATTCTATGTCATTGCATTCAAGTATAAACGCTAAATTGTGTGTCCAGATATAGATTTCACGGTTACCAATCCTCCGTTTATCTAAATCCCACTGACGAACGGTTGTTCCATTTCCGAAACTCGTTAGCACTCGCTCACTCTCAATAATTTCGAAGGTTATCAGAGAAATCAATAACTTAGCTACAGGAGCTCAACTAACACACAAATCACTTCCTAACGATTATATAGATCCACAATACCAGAGTTTCATATAATTCGAACTAAAATCTGATACTTGGATTCTCTAGGGCTTTGAGATCAATGATAATAGCCAAGTACTTTGAGATGTTGAAGTTATTTCGAATATTGACCTCCTGTTAAATATTGAAACTAGTCTAGATTATTGAATACTTTCATTTATACAAATTTGAGCTGACGAGTTGTTTCGCTTAACTTTATGATACATGGTACAAAGTTACGTTGATGGCCTCTTCTGTTGACAAAGTTTCATTGCAGAAAGAAGGCGGTAGAATGAGATCAAGACTTTGAAAGTGTGGGAATGGGGTCTAATGCCATTCGACAAGCAGAGGTCCTATAATGCCATCATATTCCCAGTATGTATTCAGCATAAATAATAACTGATATGCCATCCTGGTTCACCATACTTGGTTGATAGATGCGCATTCGTAATATCAAGATTCTTTGCATATTTTTTCAGCGTTGGAAGTGCTCTGACGCGTGCGGTTACACACATAGTTCAGACCCTTAGGCTGACGGAATATTCAGTATATCCAATAATCCGTACTCCAGAACGAATTAGATAATTCAAATTAAACAATCAAGCTTTAGTCCATTTATATATTAAATAGTCTATCTACAGTTTTAAAAATCGCTAATAAGCTAAAGGATGGCGCTGCAGCCTGCATCTGATAAATCTGCAAGATTCCGTTTCGGTAGGCAACAGGGGAAAGTGGCTGGAAAACAAAAGACACCCACCCATAGAGCCTGCGTGCAGTAGAGAGTTCTTGTGAGTAATTTTGGTACTCTCCTCCCTGCTACTAATAGTAATGGCATCTCTTTCAATTCAGCAACGTTTGCTCTGCGACTCCCGTTCAAGCAACTTGCAGTATAAACGACGCGATACCATATAATCCACCAAGGTACATCGATTCAGACCTTTATCTTCTCTGCTAACTATGCGAGCATCAGATGATGACGAGCAAACGCAAAGTGACAGAGATTGATGATTTCCAACCTCTCATTGAGATCGACGATGATGGTAAACACCTTCCAGTAGTCGACTTGGACTGCAAGCAGGTTCGACAGGAAATTCAGAATTCTATTAGCTCGGGTGAGATGAATGACATAAATTTCTAAAGAGCGATCGGTGTCAGAGGTAGAAGTTATCATACGTTCATAACAAGAGTGGTCATGATGAAGGAAGTGATAGTGATGCATGCTAAAATGCAGTCGCATTCTTCAAGAAAAGAGAGTAAGAGACCATGTTAACTTTCTCGCTGGTTTGACGTGGAGCTGATAGTATTAGCCTAAAAAGGTCCATGGCACCAGTCTCAACATCCCCTCCTTTACTACCACATTCCGTTTCATCACCATCGAGTCCCATCCCATTACCACGGACTGCCATGCACTCACCTCCTACGAAGAAGAAGAGACTCAGCGAGGCGGCAAGACCGTATGATGTCTCAGGTATTGAACTCCAAGGAGAAGAAACAGAATCAGTTCCAATCTACGACTCGTGCCACGAAATCCGCAAGAAACTCAAGGTGTTCCTTCGAAACGTATCATCCAACGAATCTGCATTGTCGCGAAATCGCCAAAACGTTTCCAGATGGCAGAGTCCTTACAAAAACTCTTAATAACTTCATGAAGCAGAAAGATCCACATGGCAATCAAAGTCCTGCTTATTATGCTGCTTATGTCTTCGAGAAAACTCGTACTCGTGATGGTAAACCAAAGAGTCAGGATCGTGAAAACTCGGAAAAGATTTGGCCCCGGAGAGTGAATATCCCAAGTCGATGTCACGTATATATGGACCAAATTTCAGCGGGGGATGTTGAGAAAAGGACGTTTGATAACATAGGGAAGAAATCAGATCTTGGAAATACTGCTGTCGATCGTGTGCACTGTCATCGAGGTTTATAGAGTTTGATTATCGGTAGCTTAACCACAGATTGATGGATCTGCTGCGTAAAAGATAGCATAAGAATCGAATTCTGAATCGAATTCTGAATCGAATTCTGAATCGAATTCTGTTCTCAATTGCACCGGAAGTCTTAGCACATTCTTCTGTTAATGCACCGCGAAGTATGTAGGAAACAAATTCTGCATATTCACTTTCGATACGACACCAATTACAAACAATACTCTGAAAAGGCTAGGAAGCAAGACCTTAACAACAACAGCAACTTCTTGAACTGTCTGAGAAGAGCTAGATGAAATTAATGGCTATAGTGTTTGAGACATCGCGGGTTTGATTGTGCTGTGTAGTATTTGCAGCTGTTTTCGAATATTCGCAGGGAAGAGTAGATCCACCACCGTTTATCTGACCAAGACACCTAGTCTGGTACCGTTTTAATATACATGGACAACTAGTATGCATACTGCACATAAAACCTATTTATTGGATTGTTGATATGGTAAAGTAGCTAGTTCGATGGCTATCCGTACTCTTGTACAACGCAAGGCCCTACATGAACCTGGCTAAGAAGATATCTACTACTGTATTCGTGCCACGTTCTTCTAGAACATTTCACCATGCTTAAGTCCGCTCCGTCCCGCGCCCCTATCAGTTCGCGCTAGCCCATTAGCTTTGGGAATCTATCAGCACGTGACATTATACGGCGAATTCCAGAAGAATCATTGATCCATATCCGTCGTTGAAGGCATTTTAGAACTGGATGCATAAAGTTTTATAAAGTTTTACAACAATTCGTTCTTCTCATAAACAACCTTTATCTATGATCTCTCATTACGAATAAACTCATTCATTCTCTCTATTAGAAATCTGTGTACTACTACAATTCCGATAATCTGTTCACACCTTTTTTTGTCATATCATTCCTAAGGGAATTCACCATAAGAATGAGCGCTTCATCGAGAATTGTCCGCAGTGCGGCGCAAACATCATTCATAGGAGGTTTGTTCACATTCAATCCAGCCTACAAATGGGGAATTAATGAAGTACTAACTGCTACTTCTAGCTCGTGCTCTTCAACGATCTTCTCTTAGTCCCACAGCAGCATATTTACGCCGTAATGCTCGAACTCTTCCATCACAAATGCCAGCACTGGCTATTCTAATCCCACGAAGAGGTGTAACTACAGATACTCATACATCAGGAGGGACAAATGGTGCACCGCCACCAGGTTTCAATGCCGAACAAGCAAGAAAGCCAATCAAAGAAACTCCAATTAGCTCCAATGCGACGTCAAAAGCTGGTGTGAAGCAAGCCGGCAAGCATGAAATAGACCCTATTCCAAGCAATGAAGCCACTGGAGTACCGAAAACTGATGCCTCTGAAGGCTTGACACTTTCGGAACTCGCTGGCTCAACCGGAAAGTCAGTGGAAAAACCAGATGGCGAGAAAGCAGAGAAAAAGTTGACACTCGGACAAAAGATTAAGAAAGAGGCTGCACATTATTGGGATGGTACGAAACTGCTAGGAACGGAAATTAAGATTAGTTCACGCTTAGCATTGAAGATGGCTGCTGGATATGAGCTCAGTCGCAGAGAGCACAGGCAACTACGAAGAACAGTCCAAGATATGGCACGATTAGTGCCATTTTCTGTATTTGTTCTTGTGCCATTCGCAGAACTTCTCCTTCCCATTGCTCTCAAGTTATTCCCCAACATGCTTCCAAGCACATACGAGGCACAGAAATCAAAAGATGCTAAAGTATCTTCACTTCGTGCAACCAGAAAGGATGTCAGCAATTTCTTGCGAAGTACCTTGAAAGAAACTGGACTACCATTGAGTACAGCAAATGCTCACATTGAAGAGTTTGCTCAATTTTTCCGCAAAGTTAGAGCCACTGGTGAAACGCCTAGTGCTTCGGAAGTCATCAAAGTCTGCCAGATATTCAAGGACGATTTGACTTTGGACAACTTATCTCGCCCCCAACTCGTTGGTATGTGCAGATACATGAACCTTAACACTTTTGGTACAGATACCATGCTTCGTTATCAGATTCGTCATCGTATGAGACAAATCAAGAGAGACGATCGTGCTATCAGCTTTGAGGGCGTAGAAAGTTTGTCTGTTCCAGAACTTCAGGTTGCTTGTCTCAACCGTGGTATCAGGACTCATGGAATGTCTCCTGGTCGTCTTCGCGATGATCTTCAAGCTTGGTTAGAATTGAGACTTAAGCATGGAGTTCCCTCTACATTATTGGTATTGAGCAATGCTTTTATGTATGCTCAAGGCAAGGAGGCTGAATTTTCAACCCAAATTGATGCACTCACTGGTGTTCTATCATCCATCCCAGAGGAGTTATTCCATGAGATTGAGCTTGAAGTTCACAATGCAGAGGGTGCTGCCACCAACAAACAACGTCTTGAGGTGTTGAAGGAGCAACAAGAGCTCATCGAGGAAGAAAATGAGCAAAACGAGGAGAACACTGGGGAAGGTAGAGCCACTCCTCAAGACAATGAAGATATTGATGAAACAGAAGAGAGACGTATGGAGGCCAAAGATGGAGCAGATAAGGATCAAGTGAGTGAGGCCATTGCTGCCGAGAAAGATGGAGAACTATTAAAGCAGGAAGATAGCAAGGCAAGAGAAGAAAAGCCATAAGCTTAACCTGATGTGTATATTTGAAAATTCTTCTCACTTGTTTTAAAAGCTATAGCATTACTGGATCTGGTTTACGCATGGATAAAATGGATTGGATGGGAATGCGATAGAACTTCACAATTATAGACACTGATTGCCATGATTGTGCATCAGATTACACAGCAGCACAGCGTAGTATTGTAATATCAATCAATACCAAAGTTTTTAGTCTCTTGTGATAAACCCATTCAATTCGCCTTTGTACGTCACCTATTTTTGTCGACCTAGGTAGGTAATAAGTAACAGCATTCGTATAACATACTTTGAATAAAAAGCTACACTTGCACGAGTCGTGAGTTCTTGACCATTTTCAAAACGCTAAGCTCAAAGAGGGTTCCCATTGATGGATGACATGTTGACGAAGGAAGGGAAGCTTCCATGATTATTGCGTAGGAAATCCCAAAAAACAATTCACTACAATTATTCTCACCACTTTTTGAGTACAAATCAAGACAAAATCGCATTACAACTCATAAATATTATCAATCAATAATACACAGAAGTTTATTTGAGCATTGTTCATCGAAATCGTTTGTATAGCAAAAAGGCTCCTACGAAACCAAGCTTCCCTACCCTACCCACGAAAACAAGCTCCGATTGCCCCGCGCACTCCAACTGCGAAGATGGACCACGACGATTTTGCCAATGTCGAATGGCAGAACAATCAGAGAGGGCATTCGCAAAGTGATGATGAAGGCGAAGGACCAGACACCAACAGGAAAAGTGGTGAAACCCAGGCTGGCCCAAATGCAGATGCTCTTGATCTAGCGGGCGTCGGAGAAGGGGTTCTAGAGTGTACAGTTGGATCACCTATCAAGGAGAATGATGGGACTAAAGATGCATTTGTTTCGTATCTTGTTACTACGCATGTTCGTGTTATGGAAATATCGAGGGGCGCAGGGTGATTTACTGATTTGATATGTAGACTACGTTTCCTTCTTTTCAAAAGCCCACCACGACGGTTCGAAGACGATTTACGGATTTTGTGTTTTTATACAATACTCTTTTTAGGGAATATCCAGCATGTGCTGTTCCTCCTCTACCAGATAAGCATAAGATGGAATATGTCCGAGGCGATCGATTCGGGGTCGATTTCATGCAAAGACGAGCCAACTCTCTCGCACGTTTCCTCACCCGGCTCACTCTTCACCCTGTTCTCCGTCGTAGCGCCCTTTTGATTATCTTCCTGGAAAGTTCGGACTGGAATGCGACAATGAGGTCGCGCCCTTCTCGAGGCGCTTCTCGAGACGAACAAGCCGCAGGAGTCTTTGACAATTTTACGGATACATTTATAAATGCCTTTACCAAAGTCCACAAACCCGATCAACGATTTATAGAAGTCAAAGGAAAATCCGACAAATTGGACGAAGATCTCGGACACATTGAAAAGATTGTTGCTCGAGTAGCTCGTCGTGAAGGCGATTTGGAAACGGATTATAAAGATCTAGCGGAACAATTTCAACGATTAATCAACCTTGAGCCAGAGATTGAAACCAGTATTCACGGATTCAGCGCTAGTGTGGAAGATACCAGTGCAGGAATCAAAACATTGAAGGACCATACGGATCAAAACTATCTCGGAAGTTTGAGAGATATGCAGGCTTATAGCACGGCGGTCAAAATTTACTAAAAACTCGCGAACAGAAACAACTCGATTTTGAACAATTAACTGAATATCTTGCAAAATCCACCAATGACCGGGATCAGCTGGCCTCATCTCATGGTTCTGGAGCCCTGACTGGAGCAGGCGGGTTTATTCGTTCGAAAATCGAAGATGTGAGAGGAGTTGATCATGAACAATCTCGCAGAGAAAGATTACGGAGATTGGAATTGAGGATAGAGGAATTGACAAAGGAAGTGGAAGATGCGAAGAAAACGACGGAAGCTTTCGATGAGGAGGTTGTAAGAGAAGTGGCGGATTTTGAGAGGATTAAGAGGGTGGAGTTTAGGAGTCAATTAGGGGCTTTGGCGGATGTACATAGGGATTTCTATGATGGGGTAGCGAGGATTTGGGAGGGCTATGTTACGGAGATGGGGGGTGATCTGGTGGTTGAGGAGGTGGAGGCTTAGTGTGGGAGTAGATAGATGTTACAATGAGGGAAGAGATTTGATGAGTGGGAAAAAGGAAGTAATGAAGTAGGGCAATGCAACAGGAAGAAAGTAGATGGATGAGTGGCTGTTTGTCTTGTCTTGTCTTATCTTATCTGATGGGAATAAGTTTTCGGATTGATTGATTGATTGATTGCAAGAAAGTACCAACCTAGGCGTTTTATGGTTTCGGAGCACGCGATTCTCATCATGGAGAAGAATG